GAGAGAGAGAGAGAGAGAGAGAGAGAGAGAGAGAGAGAGAGAGAGAGAGAGAGAGAGAGAGAGAGATTTGTTTGGAGGGGAAGGGCTTGCGACACCGGTAGGTTTTTGCTTATGATTAGGAGTTGTTTCCCTGAGCCGTTGGTAGTAGTAATTTAAAATTTTGTTCCGTAGCCCACTTGTGTTTCGAGGCAGGAATTGTATGGCGGGTTTAGTTGCAAATTGAAATGTAGCGAGGGGTTGCTATGTAATTTATTGCTGCAAGAGTCGGCCACAAATGAAAGCAAAACCAAATCCGTCTATTTCTGCATCTATATGTCTGGCATTGTCCGCCGTTTCCTGCCTTTGGCCTTGGCAGTGACCAGAGTACTGTTCCCAGCTCGATTCAATCCTGTGATCTGTGGACACAAACTGTAAAGAAAAAAATGTAAAGCTCCTATGAGCCACCTCCTCGTTTGTGTAAAGCAGTTTGTACACAGGCTTCCGTTTTCCTTCGCGACGTTTTCAGCCAGGGGCCAGGGCAGCTAGCTCTTTGTGTGTTGGTTGTTTTGTTGAAAATTGAGTTTGAAGCTCGAACTCATGTCCTCTGCATTCAGCCAAATTCGGTCGAATGACCTTTCTTCCGTTTCTCTTCTTTCTTCCATTCCCCACCTCTCCTCTTGTCTTTTCTTTTTTTTTTCTTTTTTTCTCTCTGAGACTCTCTCCTCTTTCCTCCCTTCTCCTTCGTCTTTCTTCCTTTCTTCTTCTTCTTCTTCTTCTTCTTCTTCTTCTTCTTCTTCTTCTTCTTTTGCATTTCTCCCTCTCTTCCTCTTTCCTTCGAAACAGGTCCATGGTTAAAAAGAATTGGCCTAGCTCAGTTTGTACGCCTCTGCTTCTCTGAGCAGTTGAGATACAAACCTGAGTTTGAACACCACTGAGAGCGGTTGACACCTATGTATCACCCGCGGCCGTGCGGTCAAGCTCGGAGGGCGGCCAAGTTCATGGCCGCGGCCGTGGCTGGGGTCGGCCACATAGCGGCCACATTTTTCAATGATTTTTCGCGTCAAAAATAATAGGGGGGAAAAAAAATGGGGTTGTACGGTTTTTGAAACCCTACAACCTGATTTTTTTTAAAGGAAACAATTATTTTTAGGGAATTATAAAAAATAAAAAACAGAAAAGGTGGAGAAGAAAAATTAGAAATAAAAATTGAAAAAAGAAGTTTATTTTTTTCGGATTTTTGGTTGGCAGTTCTTTGTCTTCTTCGATTTTATGTATTTTCGTTTTTTTTTGTTGTTGTTGGGTAATAAGGAAAAAATCAAGGAATGAAAAAAAATAAAAAAAATATATATAGTACTGTCTTTTTGTGAGGGTCGATTAGCATGTGTGTGTGTGTGTGTGTGTGTGTGTGTGTGTGTGTGTGTGGGAATGTGTGTATGTGTGTGTGGGTGTGTGTGTGTGTGTG